TCTAGAAGCCCCTTGTGGGTGCCAGAGCGCTAGGTCCTCAGCCAATTGAACTGTCCTTCCCTCTTCCATGTTTCCTTCCTGACTAGAAACATCCGTGTCATATGCTGCCCATGTTCCACGCCTGCAGGGTCTGAGCGCCCTGGCAGAGCTATCTGCGCTGGCTGATTGCCTGCAGCTCGAGTAGGGCAGCTCCACAACAGTAACTGAAACCATTTCGGTGTCAAGAAGAAAAAGCCCTGGGGGGTTGGGAGGGAAATCTGACTTAATATCGCCAGACCGCAGTCCCTGTGTGGGGTGACGTACGGTGCCCTGTAGAGACAAGATCTGCAGAAATCCTTCAAACTGGCCTCCGGTTAATTGAAAGGTAGGTCCTAGAAAGCAGTTGTCAGCTGTTTCCTCAAAGCGTAAACCAACTGGGGAGAGATTCTGCAGGGCAGCAGCGCTGCATCATCGCCAGGAAATGCATGGAACAGTTCCCTGGTACTTAATGTGGTTCTGGATGCAATTAACCAAATACTGCCTGTCTTCTTTGATTTCCCTGTTTAACTATCAAAGTAACACTGCAGACAGCCATTTCTTCTGCAGGCAGTGTCTCTGGCGGTGTGGCGTTGGTAATGGGATACCAATGCTGTGCTGTAGACAGCATCTATCTGCCAAGAGTCATAGAATGTGGGACCCGGTGGTGGAGTGTTCTCCCTTCCATTCTGCACCAAACCTAAATGTTCCCAGGAAAATCTCCAGTCACCACAGTCCTTAGTACAGACTTGCCTGGCAAGAATCTGGGTATTTAGGACGTCTCTATACCACCTGGCACAGGGGTAAACAAAATGCCTCTCATGGCCTGGATCCGGCCCACTAAGCTGCTGGATCCAGCTTGCAGACCCCCTGTTGGGACCCTCAGCAGCTGCTGTTTTAGGTGCAGGGCTGCTTCATGTGTGTGTCTACATGCAGCCTCCTGCTCTCTCCAGAGCAATCTCCCTGTCCCCAGCCCAATCCTCAGCTACTATTGGCTGGAAACAACCAGACAATAGGAGCTGAGAGATTGGTCTGGGGGCCGCACAAGCCTCTTCCTTCCCCTCTCCCCCCTCCCCCCGAGCTGGGCAACATGGAGGGAGCAGCCTGCAATTTTAAGCAGTCTGGGGCTGCAGAAGCAGGGAGCCCAGCCTGCCATGGGGGTGCTGCAGGGTTGCTGACCGAGAGATGCTTAGGTAAGCGCCTCCCAGTTAGAGCCTGCCTCCGGGACTCCTGCCCCTCCCATACCCCAACTCCCTCCCCCAGGTCACAACTCCCTCCTAGACCCTGTACCCCCCCCCCTTCATGACCCTACACTCCATTCCCTGGACCCAGCAGTCTTCTTCTTAGACCTCACACTGTCTCCTGTACCCCAGTCCCTTACCTCGTGCTCCCTTCTGTACCCAACCTCCATTCCAGACCCCACACCTCCTCCATAGAAAAGTAGCTCTTGATCACTTTCTAAAATCTTGGAGTGGCCTCCCACCAAAAATGATTGTCCACCCTGACCTAGCAGATAAATGCATAAAAGCACTGATTTGGGGGGTTGGAATGGGAGCAGAAAGTGTAAGAGCAAAATGCCATAGGAAAGGTAAAATCAAGGCATTGTCTATCTCTTGGACCAAGACCCTTTAGTCCAAGGTAGCAACGTTAGCCAGCTACTCGACTGTCAATTTGGGCAGTGCTGGCAAATGAGACCTGTAAGTATTCAAGGCCATCTACTTGGCTTCACAGTTGTCATCTTGAGTTCAGAGTTGTGAACCTATCCTGGAGACATTTGGCACCCAGGGGAGAGTATCTCCCCTGGCTACTGAGACTCACCTGTGGCCCCTGCTCTACGCTTGAGCTAGAGTTGTAAGTGTTTCTAAAGTTGGCTGTAGTGTGTTTCTGCTCTTGCTGCTCTCCTTGAGGTCGGTGAAGGATGTGTCTGGTTCCACGACCTTAACTCCAGAGCAGAAGGACAGTGCAGTGGTAGGGAAGGTGAACTTGGACACTCAGAGGAGGGAAATCCTCAGGGTTCAATCTATTTGGAAATGGATTTAACAGCCAGAACCACCGGGGTGAACACCCTTCCTGGAGTGCGTAGTTTAGGGGAGGGCTCTTAGGAAAGGGGCTCTCTCAGCCAGAGCTCGTGGACTCATGAATTGAGCCACCATAGCTATAAGGCAGTAAGTGTTGTAGGTTCCCCTCTGCCCTTCCCCAAGGCTGTAGCCTGGATCCTAAGCCAGACACTGGAGGAACCTGCAGTCCTGTGATTGATTGCTTGGCTGACAATTGCTGCAGTGCCAACGGGGACTAGAGCATGTGGCCTCTAGAAGATGATGAAGAGTGGGCATAAACCTGTGTTTTCGGTTGGCGTCCTTGGACTGCTTTAGGGGGAGATCTTTACAAACACTCAGCCCCTCTGCAAATGTGGCCGTTAGTGTCTGAGATCAATCACTCTGCCTCTTTGCTGGGTTCCTTTGACATGCTTTCCCTGTTAAAGCCAGAGGAATGTACAGCTATGGGGCTACATCTGTCTTTGGACTTCAGTTTCCTGTAGCTTCTGCCTGGCATCAGGGTGGGAAATGCCAAGAGATCCTTTTTCTTGCACTACAGCAGTTTGCAAACTGTTTCCTTCTGCTGGCCACTTCCTATGAGAGTGCATCACAGATCACCTCATCTCTCCTTCTCAACTCTGTGCTCCACTCCAGGAGGGCCCTGTAGACCAGTGAAGACCCGTGGATTATTCCTGAAGAACCACCATCCCGGAACAAACACTGCAACTGTGTATTAGAGAGCAGCCTCGTTAATTCCACCCAGCATAACGGGAGTAGGAGGCTTGATTTATGGCCAGTTTGTTTAGGGTTCCGTTGAAGGGAGTTGCTTTACATTTTCATTGCATTTACTTAGCCCACAAACCTTGCTGAAAATAAATGTCAAAAGCATTGAAGTGGGAATACCCTACCTACATCTCGATGTGTGACCTATGAAGTTCCTTGGTCTCAAGAGGGGGGCAGTGTTAGTTTAAATTTGGTCCAAAAGTTGATATTTTGTACATCAAACCTTTTCTTCAATCTCAATAGAAATACTAGTTCAAACTTTAAAAAATCCCTGAAGACAGTTTTTACATTAACTCTGCACCTTATAAGGCTTGAAACTCTCATTATTATAGCACTGAGAACACAGCCTGAAAATTGCGATATGCCAACTGAGTGAAATGCAAAGAGATAACAAAAGTAAATACAGAAAAACTGTTTCTTCTCCCGTCTGAATAGCTTAAGCTATCAGTAGCATAGGCAGAGTCCTATAACAGGACTGTGTCCCTTCAAACATAAATGTCAAAGACCCAGTCTGTTCCTTAACTCAGCAGAAGGCCTGAGGAGTGGCCAGTATAAGGTTATTTGAGACCCAGAATTGGTCAGGATTCCACTGTTGGCTTTACTGGAGTATGTTCCCAGACATGGTAAAGCAATAGGAAGGAGCAGCCACTGTGTTTTGCAGAACTGAGGAGGGGGACTAGCCTGGGTCCTAGATGTGGTTTGCCCGTTCTTTTGGGGACAGGCACAGCGGGTCTGTTTCTCATCTCCACCAGTCTTACATTGTCAGCTCCTCTTAGCAGATGAATTTGCAAGCTTGCTTGTTTCTGGGGCAGACCAATCATCCTCTTGAAGGCTGCCCAGCAGTGGGGTGCTGTGAGGAGGCAGGAAGGCAAAACCAATCACCTTAGCAATCTAAATTGGAACTGCCTTCCACTGGGCTCTTCTGTAGCCAGGCAAGTGTGATGGGGAGAGAGGGCAGGCGCATGGTATATGCGGGTGGACTGACACACAACGTGGGTGCACCTCTTTGGTTGCATGCAGAGAACCACTCTGGCTATTCATGCCTCCGATGCGTGCTCTTAGGCAGCGCACTGTATTCCCCCTCCAATGGCGGTAAACATGCAGAAACTCTTAAGGGCTGGATGGATGGTAAACTCAATGTCCATCCAAATGAGCAGCAACTGTAAATTTTCACGCTGGGCCAACAGCCTACTGAGTGTTTTCAAGTTAGGATGCTGTGTAGCATCAAGCTCAATTATAGTCAGTCTGAGTAGCATATTAATGGCTAAATCATCTGAGCAGGCTGGATGGGGAGTCAGCCTGCCAATACAATGCCTTTGCACTCCTCTCATTGGTGCTTGTTGTGTTTTTCCGCAAAGGTGGACCGATACACGCTGAAGAACGGCCGTCACATCATACTGCTAGCAGAAGGCCGACTCGTCAACTTGGGCTGTGCAATGGGTCACCCCAGCTTTGTGATGAGCAACTCCTTCACCAATCAGGTGTTGGCGCAGATTGAGCTGTGGACCAATAATGACAAGTATCCAGTGGGAGTTCACATCCTGCCAAAGAAGGTGGGTTTAGGGTTCAATGTTTTCATCTTTTCCCCCACGTGCTTGCACAAGTGAGCTCAGCCCAGTCCTTCAGCTAGTCACTGGCTGGTAAGTAACTTTCAAGAGCAAAAGCCCACCTTTGGCAAGTTTTCATTCACAACCTAACAAGATGGCAGGACAGTGTCCTAAAAGCAGAAGGTGCACACGGCCTCTCCCAGGTCTGACTAGTGCAAGAGTGGAAGATGTACTATGGAACAGTCTTCGGTCATTTTCAGTGAAATTGCCAAATCTGTAGGCTTTACACCACTTTCCTTGGGAGATCATTGCACTGTTCGGGAGAGTTCTCTTCCCTAGAGCCTACCCCCTTTTCCTCTCTGTAATATTTCCCACTTGGTCCTAATTACAGTCAGAGTGACTTAACATTTTTCAAACTTTTTGGCACCAAAAATGCATATTTGGAACTGAAAGTTTTTCACAAATGTCTGTTGTATGAAGTTTAGTTGCAGTGTTTCCTCGTTTGGGGGGCTTTGCTTTTTATAGACTTTTTCACAGTGGTGGATTTGGGGTTTTATTTTAAATATATTGAAACTGTACTGTGTCCTCACTGCTGGGTTGGATTCACTCACGATAGCTGTCGCATGGGTGGCGTGTGTCGTGGATTTGGAAACTTCCAAGCTTTTTTATATATTTTTGAAGTTTTGCTGAGAGAGAAATTTTCAGCTCTGCACTGACCTAATGTTGCCATGTGACCTTGGGACCTCTGCCTCCATTTCCCCAGTGGTTTGATGGGAGGCGTTCTTCCCTCTCAAAAACAAGTTGCCTTGTGAAGTAGGGATGTGAAAAACAATCATGTGACCAATTAACATTTGATTGGTTTCATGGTTAAATATTTAACTGTGAAACTAGGCATGCAGATGGCTGCTGCCTCACCCCCACGTTTTACCCAGGGATCCTGCTGCTGGCCTCACATACCCAATATCCCAGGGGGTCTGTTTGCCAGCCCCATGCGTCCCGGGTCCCAGCTGCAAGTTCCATGCACCTGTTGGGTGCCAACGTGCCTGGGCCTACTGCCAGGAACCTGAAGGGAGTTTGATCGTTCAGGGAAACAGATAAGCTTAATGCTTTTTAGTTAACCAGTTACACTTTACATCCCTATTGGGCGGTCAGTGTTTCAATTGGCTGGAGCAGTGATAACATGGATCCATCAGGAGGCCGAGATCTCATCTACATATAGAATCTTACCTGTGTACAAGCTACTTCATCCCTCAGGTACTTGCCTCCGTATGTGCTTGGCTTTAAAGGTGCTAACGGAGTACCACTGACAGCCTGTGAGGTAGGGCTGCTCTTGTCACCGGCATGTTGCTCACAAGAGTTGAATCGGGACTTGTGACAGGAATGAAGTGGGTGTACTGATTTAAATCCAAGACCTGTATTTTGGGGCTGGGGTGTGAGACCCCTTGGGAGCGGGTCCGTAAAGAATTGTTCATGCTGCCAGTGTCCAGATGCACGTAGCACATTTTTTCCAGTCCCTCTGACGATGGGTGCGAGCTCAGAGCAGTCTGATTGCACTTGGCACCTATTCAGGAGCATTATGGAGAGAGAAACAGGCAAGCTTCCAAAGCCGCCCATTCCCCATGCACACCTGAGCAGAGTCCGCCACAATCTGGTCCTAATTGCCTCCATGTCCACCGCCCCTCTGCAAAATCTCTGTGCTGACCTTGGATTGGCAACAAATCCTCCTGGGTTTTCTCTTTAAACTTAAAATGATCCGTGGATTCTTTGTTCTTGGGGGGAGGAATCTGGATGTCACAGCTGTCATACGTTTACAAAAGAAACTGTCATCTGGTCTCAATTTTTCAGAAACAAGCCTGCAAATTAGATGAGGTGGCCGTTGTTTGAGAGAGATTGTGCTATTAAGTCCCCGTGCCTTTGAAATGCGGCCAGATTCAGAAGTGATAATGCAAAAAGGTTTTCCCTTTAGTCAGTAGAATAAACAGATACGGAATGGTTTATGAAGTGTTTGCTGAAGGACTTCTAAGCTCTCACTGCCACCTGTTAAAATAATGAGCCGGAAAGGTGTGTTTGGAAGAGATTTGCCAGGGGTCAGTCACACCAAAGTGTGGGGGAATGCGTGTCTGCCATTTCCCTTGGGCAGAAAACCTTTTATCGTCAGCCCTCTTGAATGAATGAAGCCATTCAGTGATTATGCTACTCTAATTCCACCCCACAACGCACTGCTTCAAACCACCTGTCAGGCAATGCCTAGTAATACAGACCAGTACAGCTGATTGAATGAGAGATGACCCCCAATCTAACCACGGACGTAAAATGAACTGTGCTTGGCTTAGCCTCTCAGAGAGGACTAATTTGCATCCATGCTTGATTTAGGGAAGTGCTTGGTACCAGAAACCCCAGTTAAAAATGTGAGACTTGGTAGTGGAGGGTTTTCCAGGAGGCTAATGGGAGTTGGCATTGATGGGCCTGAAAAAGGAAAGATGTAGGTTAAAATTAAAGTATTACCAGTAGAAACAGTGGATAGGCTTGTGCTGGCTAGATCGGGGGCTGGGAACCTTTTCAGGGTTGGGGGCCGCTGACCCAGAGAAAAATCAGTCGGGGGCCACACACAAGTGAGAAGCACTAACATGGCCCCCGACTGAGTAGGAGGAACGACACTCCCCACATTTCCCTCCCACACCAAGGCCGAGTGGGGAGCCAGGCTAGTAGATTGTGTGCTTCAGCCCCACGGGAGGACAATGGAGGGGGTGTGGAGCGCCAGCACATCAGGCCCCTCCTGGTCATTTGGTTCCCCGCCCCGGCTGTAGGTATTGAGGCAGAGAGGCAGGATGGGGTAGAGAGCGTGATTTAAATGGCTTTTTACCCTCAACTGAAGCATTCTCTGGGATTGACTTGGCCTGGTTTTTTTCATCAACTGTTTCTAATAAAGAAACAGAAAATAGTTTTTGAAAGGGCTGGGGAAGGCCCCCCTGCTGTCACTTCCCGGCTTGTTCCCTGCTTATTGAACGTGCTCCATGTCTCGGCAGTGACTGGCTCTTCCACTGCCCGCTTGCTCCTGCTGTTGAAAAATGCTTCCCCAATACCCTCGCTGAACTTGTGGTTAGAGGAGAAGGGGCAGCATGGTCTGGTGAGGAAAGCACTGGAGTTGGGAGCCTATTCCTGGCTCCGCAACTGACCAGTGGAGATAGACGAGGTCAAGTATCTTCGTCTCTCTCTCTCCACTTCTCTGTTTGTAAATTGATTTTGCTTCTGACTTGTGCTGAGATGAGAACATAGGGTCTTGCAAACTTCTGTCATATGGTCATATTCTTGTACGCTATCTGCAAGGTGAGATGAAGGGAATTCAGGGCCCCCGCAATGCCCTGGGTTGGTCCCTAATTGCAATGGCAGTGGCAGGAAGGAGTGCCCCTTCCCACAGAGCGGTACGGGCAGTCACAGAAGGCCCAAGGCTCAGCAGAAGGGCACTCTCCCCTGGTGAATAGCAAGAGTGGCAGAGGGGTTTCCTCTTCCGCGGTGAACAGGCCTGGCTGGTGGCAGCAAAGGGGAAGAAGCACGTCCCCAGCTAGTCGCTGTGTAGGATTCTGCCGCGCGCAGCCCTGTGCTGTGGGAGGGTGGGTGAGTTCCTTGGAATGGGGTCAGAAAACTAACACCCCTCGGAGAGGCACAGGGCAGAGCTGTTGTTCCAGGCTCCTTGCCGATCCAGGCAGGCAGATCGTGTTTTCGTGCTGTTCTTTGATGACTGAGCAAGACTTCATCTTTTTATAGCTGCAGCCAAGGTTCAGGTCTCATTGCATGACTCTTCCAGGAACTGGGGCCTTAAGATTTAATGCCATGCTAGCTGGGAAGTTACTGCAACGTCACCAGAGGTCTCATCCGCCAATTCCTATCGTTATTTGTATTTGCTCTAGTTTTGCTGTATCCTTCCTAGCTTCAGGAACCAGAATGCAGTTCCACAAGTAACAACACCCGGCCTATGCACAGTGGCGTTTACATCTCCAGCTATACAACCGAACTTTGACCTCAGTGCTTGCTTTTTGTAGTGGATTCACATTGAAAACCAGCTTCCTCTAAATGTGCTGCTTTTCAAGCAGAGGTCTCATTTTTGTATCTGCTGTTAACTTCTCCTTTGATTAGTGTTGTTTTTTATTTCACTTCTTATAGGGTACTGTGCGTGCATCTTATCTCAAGAGCACATTGCATCTTGGTTCTGGCTGTGCCTGTGTGTGTACACTCCTTCCTCTAGGGAAATCATAGAACCATAGAGCTGGAAGAGACCTCAGAAGGTCATCAAGTCCAGCTCCCTGCTCTAGGCAGGACCAATCCCAAATAAATCAACCCAGCCAGGGCTTTGTCAAGCCGAGACTTAAACACTAGGGATGGAGACTCCACTACTTCCCTAGGTAACCTGTTCCAGTGTTTCACCACCCTCCTAGTGAAATAGTTTTTCCTAATATCCAACCTGGACCTCTCCCACCACAACTTGAGACCATTGCTCCTTGTTCTGCATCTGTCACTACTGAGAACAGCCTCTCTCCATCCTCTTTGGAACCTCCCTTCAGGAAGTTGAAGGCTGCTCTCAAATCCCCCCCCTCAAATCTCCCCTCACTCTTCGCTCCTGCAGACTAAACAGACCCAACTCCCTCAGCCTCTCCTCATAAGTCATATGCTCCAGTCTCTTCATCTTTTTCTCCCTCACCTTGTTGTTGTTGATCGTTCTCTGTTCCTGGAGTGATCGCTCATGTCCATTCCACAGTAGGTGTGTGTGCTCGCTGTATACATGGATGTCAGCAGCCTTTCCCCTAGCAGCATCTGTAGGGGAGTCGCTCTGGCAACCCTGGAGTGGTACTGCCATGATGCGGTTTAAGGGGCTCTTCATGCTCCCACCCTAGTTCCCCCTTGTGGCCTGCCGACCCCTGCGTAACCACTGACATTTCCAGCAGTTACACGATTACTTAATTTACACACATTTTGACATCCCTAGTTTTTTGCTGACTCGCTGCTTCCTGCTTTTGAGTAATGCATGGCAGTTAAAAGCTGCCACAAGTTAATCTCTTTCCCCGTGTTCAGGCTGCAGCTGAATGTGATTGCGACTGACTGCTCAGGTATGAAGACTTATTGTACGCAGCAGGATCGTCTCCTCTGTTCTCCTCTGCAGATCCTGCCCCATTTAACCCTGGGGGCTGGCGGGTGGGCCTCCTGGATGGACTCCTCCGGCCTCCAGCACTGGGCTGAACATCCCGGGCTTAACGTTTTTTTTTTGGTTGTCTTTCAGCTGGATGAAGCCGTGGCGGCCGCTCATCTGGATAAGCTGTGCGTGAAGCTGACCAAACTGAGCGACAAGCAGGCCAAGTACCTGGGCTTGCCGAAAGAAGGGCCCTTCAAGCCAGACTACTACCGATACTGAGCAGCTGCTGCTACCCAAAGAACAACGTGCAGGGATACAAATCTTCCAAAGCTCTTACCCATCTGCTGGGATTCGGAGAACAAGCCCTTTCCCTTCCCCCTTTCACCACACACCCACGCTCGTAAACAGGCGCGGAAGCTCTAGTGAAGGCACCGTCCCCTCATGCTGGGAACCCGCCCTTCAGCTAATGCATGGTGGGGCAGATCCCATGGACACCCTTACAGCCTTATAATGCCTGAGGGGCTGGGGCAGGAGTTCTAAGACTCGGCTCCTGGCCCTTCAGAGAGACACTGTTAGGAGCCTGTGGTCTGGGTATGTAAACAGGCTTAACCAGCGATGGTGAGGGCTAAGCAGTGACTTGTCCCCGAGACAACCCCCTGGCTCTGTGCTGTGGTTTGTGAAAGCTGGACAGATGTGATGCCTCCGCCATGGTTCTGGGGCGTTCCACAGGACTCTGTGTCCACCGTGGTTAGCATGATGCTAAGTTGTTTCCGTACCCTGGGAGCAGCTACTTAATCAAAGATGTTAGGCTGGACCATGTCTAGTCCTGCTGCTCATCTCTCTCTGTTTAGTCTCCTTCACAATTGTAGTGTGCGAGGAGGGGTGTTGTGACTCAGCAGCTTTTCCATTTGTGATGTGAGGGGCTCCAGAAGGCTGGGGGAAGGGGTGAATGGGGGAGGCAGGGGCATAGAAGGAGGGAAGTTGGTTCTCTGAAACCACCAGCCGTGGGCACCTGCCCTGACTGAGTTTTGGGAAGTTGAGGTCTGCGGTATCTGTTGTGGTGTCTTAAAGTACATTTATTAAACCCCCCAATTGTGGTCTGACATGATTCTGGTCTGGGCCATGGCTGCGTCGTTTTGTCTGCCTCTTTCAGCTGCTCTCACTCCTGTGTCCCTGTGCAGCTGCAGGGTCTCTCATTGGCTCTTCCTCATGACTAACTGCTGTCCATATCCCGTGCCTCCTCCCAGAAGACACGAGTCTGGGGAAAGAGACCTGATGGCACATGGTTGACCAAGGCAGGCCTTTCTAAGGAGCACTCATGGTTTGGCTCTTGGAGCTGTAGCAGCACCTGGCTTCAGGCTGCCTGCTCCTGCTGCTGGCTCAGCTGATTCATGGCGGGAAAGCTGCTTGCTGGAAGGCAGCCTGAGAGGCGAGGACAGCAAATAACTTCGTCTTCTCACTACAAGTGCCTGGCTCTCGCAGTTCACACTTCACAGGAACTGTTCCACATTTATATTCCTTCCCTCCGTGAAAGGAAAGGAAAGGTGAGCCTAATTCAACTAGAACAAGCCACGCTCAAATGCCAGGTCAGCTTACAGCAGTGTTTCTCAACCAGGGGTACTCAAGAGAAAACTGGGGGGAGTGATACGGGGGTACATCAACACAACTGAAACTTGGAGAAAACGGAATTTTTGTTTTAAGTTTTACAGCGCTTGATTATTTTTGTGTTTTTTACACCCAAAACATTTCATTGCCCCCCCGGCTACCATTAAGTTGTTTAAACAAATGTGTGGCAAAGGTAGAAAAAAATTGTCTCTGAAAACTGTAGGTACTGGGGGGGGGGGGTACTTTAAAAAAATTTTTTTTAAAGGGGGGTACTTTATAAAAAAAAAAACTGGTTGAGAAACAGTGGCCTACAGCACAGTGCCTTCCAAGGGGAAGGGGTAGCCTCTCAGCACAGGTGCAAAAGTTGGATTCCTGTGCATAATCTCAACCCCTACTCTGCTTAGGGGCCACTTATGGAACTGAGCCTCAAACCCAAGATCACCATGGGCAGGATTCATTTCTTGTCTGAGACTCTGCAAGTTACCGAGGCCACAGGTTTGTATGGAATAGATTAGAGCTGGTGCTTATCACACTCTGGCAGGCAGCTCCCTCCTGCCGGCCATCAGCCCCCCCTGATGAATCCCCCCCCCATCAGCTGTTCTGCAGCATGCCTGGGAGAGGGGGTGGATCTGGGTGGGAAGAGATTGAAGCAGGATAGAGGTGGAGGCTGGGGGAAGAGGTTGAACATCCTCCGGGCTAGAGGAAGCTGGTGCCTGTATGAGAGCTTAACGAATTTCGGAGGAGCGACTTAATTACTCCCACTTAAATACTGATCTTTGCTCAGCAAAGCCTGTAAGATTCTTAATGCGCCTGCGCTTTAAGTGCCCATGTCAGCCAGTGTTAAGCACTTGCTCAAGTGCTTTGCTGGATCCAGGGCTAAGAAGTGGGAGTTAGCTCACTGGACTCTGGTGTAGCATCCAGGGTCTGCTGAGTTTGCTTTTAGTTTGGTGGTTTTGCTGTAACCTTGGGTCCATCATGTTTCCCAATTTTGCAGCTGGAAAAGCAGGGGCAGAGACTCATACTGTTCTGGGGTACTTCTGGGTTTAGATGGCAATAAAAACCTGAGCCAGCTGCTTCCTGTTCATGTCTAGATGGGCCATGTTTAACTTCCCAGCATGATAGCTACTCACTCATGGCTTCCACGAGGATCCTGCTATATGTGCATTGGGGAAGAGGCCATCACTGGACCTGGGCCATTCCGAGCGCCTGTTTCCTGCGCTCCTCCTGCTTGCAGCCATAAAGGTTTGAGTCCATCTGGCTCTGAGGTAGCAGAAATGGCTCCAACAGCTCTGCTCGAACAAGCCTGCCACTGTGTCTGTGCAGTGTGAAATGCTGCACGCTGAGATGCTAGTACTGCTTCCTCCAGCCAGGCTCATGACCAAGCCTGGCCCTTTGTTTAGGAGTGCTAATGAGATCACAGGCCCTTGTGCTGCTTGAAACTTGCCTTTGCCTCTACGTAGTCCAGGGTGAAGGAGAGTCCAACATCCCTTTATTTTTAGTGTTCCTAGCCCTTTCCCTTTTTGGTTAGTAAAGTGGTTTTCAGATCTCTCCATAGGAAATGCCACAGCAGCCCCTGCACCTAGCCGGGATGGAAGCCTGCAGTGTGCAAATCACACTGGCAAGATGATAAGATGGGAAACTTTGGTGTTTGTGCTTTGTTACACACAGACACAGATGGCAGGGCCCCTCTTCTAAGCAAGTCAGTGCTTGACATGCCCACGCAAAGGCAAAAGTGCATTGAGCCAGGCCGTGGCGTAGCCGGGGTGGGCCCGAGTGTGCTGTGCCCACCTGCTTTGCTTCCAGGTCCAGCCATGCTGGCTGGGGCCTGGGAGCTGATTCTGCTGTGCCCAGCTCTCGGGCTTAATTCCTACCTCCATCATTGCCCACCTACCTACCCACCTGAAGTCAGGGCCCACCGAACTGGCTACACCACTGGAGCCAGGGAAGGAGGCAGGCTGCTTCCATGTTAGATAATATCACCTATAGGTGCCAGCAGGCTGGTGCGGAATTTTATGGCCCTGATGTCACCGCAGAAGATGGTATTGTTCTGGCAGAGGGGTGTGAGGGAGTGCACCTGCTCTGGGCTGGACAGGGTTAACCCCACACTAGGGAGGGAGGAAATCATGCCCCCTCCTGCTGGATGGACTCCAGCTCAGTAGTAGGGAGCCTGGGGCTTGAGAGCCGCATGCTCCACGGGGCTTCCACGTGTGGCCCACGAGATGTTTAGTTGGCTGGTGCCCAGGCAGCCTGGTTCTGCTTTCATCCACGCAGCTTTTTCCCCCCAGCGGCGTTACTAACCTGACCCACGTGCAAGGCCAGGGCACGTGGAGTGAGGTGCATGCTGAGGGCGCACAATGTGAGAGGTGTGCGCTCTGTCCGCATCCAGGTGCTGCTCCGGTTCACTCGGCGCACACTGCGATTTCTAGTGCGCAGGCGCAGTTAGCAAAACTCCCCCACCTGCAAAGCCGTCTTGGTTATGTCGTGGGGCCCGCTCCCTGGCCTAGATTGTCCAGTTGGAACAGCTCGGCCTGGCCTGGGGAGGAGAGAGGCCGTGTGCTGCAGGTTCCATTGCAGTCTCAGACCTCAGGGGCCAGGTCTGCTGGGACCCAGGCGAATGACTATCCAGCTGTCCTCAAACCCACAAGGGGAAGAGGTTGTCAGGGGCTTCACCTTCCAACTACGGTGGAGAGCCGGAGGAGCTGTGGAACAGGAAAATAGGGTAGGAACTAGTCCAGGGGGCCACATATTGGTCTGGTTGTGGTAGCAGAACAGTGTTGTGGAGAGATCCCTATTGACAGGGTGCTGGGTTGGGACCCACTGGAGTAGTGTGGGGGTAGGGGACTCAAGCCCAGCTGCCAAGCCAACCTGGGGCAGCATCCCCTCCCCTCCTTGGTTCTAGGCTGTACTGCCCAGCACAAAAGGGCAGTCCTACCTGCCCTATGTCTTAGGACATCCCCACTGGTTCTGGCTATTGCGCCATACTGCCCTGAGCTATGGCGCCACCTCAGAAGTAGGTCCCTAGGCTCTGCTTCTCTAAGGACAGTCCTGACTGACCAGGAGGCTAGATGGGCTCAAGAGGAAGAGCTGTTAGTGGCACTTGGTTGCAAGGCCATAACACTGGAAAGTGTGACGGGGTACATGTGCCCTGTGGCAAGATGGCTGCCATCCTCTTCTATACCCGTCTGGGGTGGCCCGTCACGTTCTTCCCCCTTCTGTGAGGGGTCATCGCAGGCTCCTCGATGCAGCCCTGCTGAGCAGAAAAGGCAGCTGGGCCTTCATGTGGAAAAACCCTCCCCTCCCCCTTCCCGCTTTGCCTTCCAACTCTTGGGCCAATAACGAATCTCTGGAATCCTTAGTACACCAAGCATCAGAGGGAAATAGCTGGACAGGGGAAGGGAACCTCTGGTCTGAGTCCAGCGGAGATTGGCACAGCCCTGTATGTTTCTGAGGTAGGCTAGCGCTGCTTCAGCCCCCGGTGCAGCCCAGAACTGGGAAGGTGCCAAGATGACCATCCCCTCTTCCCACAGGCTGCCTGCAAGAGGCTCTCAGCAGTGGTCTTCCCCTGAAGCCCGGCTTCTCCTTCGTAGGAGAGATGGAGCATCAGCCATGCAAGGTGAGGAAAGACCTTTCACGCTGGAAGGACTGCATTACCGCAACCACAGGGGCCTCCGAGAGTCTGGGGCTTTGGCAGCTGGGATGTTTTAAGCCCATTGGGAAAAGACCCTCAAATATAACTGAATCGTGGATGAAGCAGGTGGCCGTGTTAAATCATTAATGGCTGCTCTGGCACACCCTCTTCATCTGTGTTTCCCCTGCAGGGAAGGGGGTCAGCACTTTCTGATAAATGACACTTCTCAGCACTTAGCCATGGAACAGCATTTCTGACTTCCTGGACAGGAAAGTCTGAATAATCCCTTCAAAAAGCCTATGCCCCTTCTGGAGCCCCCAGCTTCAGCTTGAAAAGAAATACAGCCACTGCTCCAACAGGCTGCTTTGTGCTTATGATGCAGCTGTTTGTGTTCTGGTTTACTTACTGTTAGGGCCTTATTGCATGACAAGGCGGCGGAGAGAGCATCTTTGTTGGCCCAGCCTCAGCTAGTGAAATAAACAAGCTTTTGAACTACACACGTTGCTCCAATAGACAATATCACTTCAATGATCTTGTTTCTAATGTCGTGAGACCAATGCGGCAAACAAAGTCTTGTAATGATTTTACTGCTGTGCCTGGATTTTTTGGTTGTTGTTTTCGGGTAGGATGTTTTCAAGGCATTTATTTTCTACCAGAGTCATTTTGAGCTTCCAAAATTTTTTTTTTCCATTTTAATGCCTTAGTTGTCATAGTGGGTAGGAAACAGCCTCCCAATTCAACCTTCTAGCCCCAGAGTAACCTAGAGAAACTGCCTGAACAATCCTTTGCACTGCTGTTGCTGGGATTTCAAGACAGTGTGGGAAATCCCCAGAGTCTGGTCAGAGTCCAGGCAGGACGGAGCTGGGCCTCCTCCC